AGTCTGGTATCCCCACCTCCTGCCATCTCAGTCCATACAGGCTGGTATCCCCACCTCCTGCCACCTCAGATCAAACCACTGGTCCATACAGTCTGGTATCCCCACCTCCTGCCATCTCAGGTCAAACCACTGGTCCATACAGTCTGGTATCTCCACCTCCTACCATCTCAGATCAAACCACTGCTCCATACAGTCTGGTATCCCCACCTCCTGCCATCTCGGATCAAACCACTGGTCCATACAGTCTGGTATCCCCACCTCCTACCATCTCGGATCAAACCACTGGACCATACAGTCTGGTATCCCCACCTCCTGCCATTTCGGATCAGACCACTGGTCCATATGGTCCAGTATCCCCACCTCCTGCCATTTCAGATCAGACCTTACTGGCATCCCACCAGCTGCCACCCATTTGACCACTGGCTCATCTCTGCCAGTTTCCCACCTTCTGCCATAACGTATCCAGCCTCTGGCCCATCTGCTATGGCCTCCCGACCACCTCTCGTGTAGCAGTTCCGACCGCAGGTCTACCTAGCTTCTTCTCTTCGGATACCACCGCTCACCCAGCATCCCAGACTAGACTATCCCAGTTCTGACCTGGCCCAGAGCAGACCTCAGTGGCTCTAAAAGCTCCGGGGAACGGGTTTTCCACCCCACCTACAAACATGGTGCACGGAGACTGGAAATGGCTCAGGATCAGTTTCGATCCACCAGCCATGACACGGCCAGAGGTGGACCTTCCCCTTGGCCCCCTCGGGGACCGGATCCCATCCGAGGCGTGAATACGCCACCCTCCCAGCAGAGCATCCAACGGGCTGGCTCCTGGCGGGCCTCCCTTACCCCACTCCGGAGAGCAGCCTGCAGAAGAGGAAGGTGCCGTAACCTTGCACGAAAGAGGAGAAGAAGGCGAAGACACTGTTGACCGAGAGGGAGATAAGGAGGCACTGCTTCCGGCCAATCCGATCCGCCAGGCCGCCCCACAGGAACGCTCCCACCATCATGCCCAGGTAGACGATGAGGCCTGGAGGGACACAGCAAACAGAGTGGCACCTGTCAGCAGTAACGCACAGCCCTGGAGCTCCCTCGCCTCGGGGCTCAGCAGAGCATGTCCATGCAGGGGCCGTGCGGCCACCAACGCCAAGCAGCAGGTGCTGGGGTGGAGCGCGGCAGGCGGGTAGCACAACAACTTCTAGGAGGCAGGCAGTTAGAACAGGGGGAAGAAGAGTCAGGACTCCTGGGTTCCACACTCAACCCCGTGCTCTATGCACGAGACCCCACGCTTCTCCCAGAGCTGGGGAGAGAACCCAGGAGTCCTGGCTGCCAGCCTCCCTGCTCTAACCACTAGACCCCACTCCCCTCCCAGAGCTGGGGAGGGAACTCAGGAGTCCTGTCTGCCAGCCTCCCTGCTCTAACCACTAGACTCCACTCCCCTCCCAGAGCTTGGGAGAGAACCCAGCAGTCCTGCCGCCCATGCTGTGTCTGAACCCCAAACCCAACGAATTAGGAGCTCATAGGAGATGAAGATCCCTCCCTCCCATAGTGGGCGGCCCATCACTCTTCTGGCTGGTGGCTCTGTGCGGCTCCCAGCGCCCCCACTCCCACCCACCCCCGCCCCGCCTGCCCTGCCAGCAAGGGCTGTGATCTCCCAAGTTGTCCCAGCAACCCGTGGCTAATTTCTTGCTGAACTTCTCTTCCGCTGGGGGATGGGGGCGCGAGGGGAGCCCTGGCTAACGGGACTGGTACGAGGGGCAGCCCTGTGCCGCACGGGGCACTGTGAGCCAGGCGGGCAGCTGTAGCTGGGAGCAGGGCATGGCGGGGGATGGGAAGGGAGAAATGGGGAGAGATGTGCTATGGGGTACAGCTGAGCTGGGGGGCAGAGCACAAGGGGAAACAGGGGGCGCAGAGGGGACTGTTTCATGCTGCAGAACTGAGCTGGGGGGGCCGGGCCCAGGGGGCAATGGAGGAGCAGAGGACACGATGTCACACTTCAGGGCTGAGATGAGCAGGGGGGGCGGGGTTGAGCGCAGATGGAGATGTGGGGAGGTTCCTGTGATGCTGCAGGTTGAGTTAGGGGGCAGAGCACAGGGGTGCAGTGGGGTGTCTCTGTAATGTTGCAGGGTAGGATGAGCACAGGGGGAGATGGGGGCGCAGGGGGGGCCAGTTGTGTCGCAGTGCAGCTCTGAGCCGCCGATCGCATCAGTACGGAGGGGAAACGAATCCCTTCACCCCCAGCCTCCGATCCTGACGTGGCAGAGCGTGGGGGGGACTCCAAAGCGGCACGTTCGCACCCCGGCGACGGCAGCTGTCAACCTGCGTGATTAGCACGATCCTGATCCCTCGTCCCGGGGATTTCACGGCCCATCGGGCAGCTAAAGCCGAGAGGGCTAACTCGGCCCCCGCAGCCGCCCGGGCTTGTCAGCCTAGCTCGGGGGAGAGAAACATCCTCCCGCCTACGCAGGCCAGACCCTCATCTGCGTCGTGCCCAGCTCCTCTCCCCGTGAGCGGTCTGAGACAAGGACGAACCCCCCCACACACACACGCTGAGTCACTCCTCCCTGGAGGCTGGCGGGCTCTCCCGGCCCCCGTGCCCTTCACGTCACTTTCAGGAGATGCCGCGGCTGCACCATGGTAGGGGAGTTCTCGCCAAATCCTGCCCGTTCAATCCAGGGGACGGCTCTCCAAGGCGGACACATGGCAAGCGCTCGTGGCTGCCGCTTGCCCGGTCGCTGCCCGTGGCCAGCCAGAGCCCAGATTCTCCCTCCAGTGACGTGCCCCTCAGTTCTCACGGCCTGGAATCACTCACACCCCCACCGGGGCCAGGCATCTGTTCCCAGGCCTTAACTTATCATGAAAATCAAGCCATTTTTTTAACATTCCTAACTGATGTAGCAGGCCCAGACCGGAGCGGCGCCAGGGTTTTTGCCGCCCTTAGGCGGGGGGGTCCTTTCGCGCTCCCGGTCTTCAAGGCACTTGGGCAGCGGGTCCCGGAGCGAGTGAAGGACCCGCCGCAGAATTGCCGCCGAAGACCCGGAGCGCAGAAGGACCCCCCGCCGCAGAATTGCCGCCAAGGGCAGCAAAATGCCGCCCCCCAAATCCTGCTGCCCTAGGCGACCGCCTAGGTCACCTAAATGGAAGCGCCGGCCCTGGGCCCAGAGGCGCCGGGGCTAGGAACGCCCAAGCCTAGAGGTGCCGGGGCTA